TTATTATCTTTTTTAAGTTATTTAACTCTTACTAAGAGTTTCTAAAGGGTTTTAGAGGTATTATTAGTAGGTTCACTTATAGTTAATATCTTAGTTATCTACTTAAGGTTTCTTATAGTAACTCACTAAATAGGACTAATTAAAATATAATAGTGGCTTAACCCTAATCTATAGTAGGTCTATTTTTTAAGTAGAGAGTTAGATAAGTACACACCTAGTATATATATAAGTAGATATTATTATATAAGTTATATTAGGAGTTTACTCCTAATAGTAGAACTATTACTTAGATTAATTAGTAGAGATCTAGTCTAGCTATTTACTAGAAATCCCCTTCTTTATATATCCATCCTATCCTCTATTATATTACTTAGATCACTTAGCTTACTCTATAATCCTAGTGATCCTAGATTAACGCTAGATTACTATAATCCCTAGTGATCCAGTCACGTGACTAGTTCCTTTATTCCTACACCCCTATAAGCGCCCTATAGTCACTTCCTTAGGCCGCCCTACCCCTTATCTGTAGCACCTTAGTGCATCTATAACACTACTATAAGTATATTATAAATATTATATATTTATTATTTAATTATAATATTTAATTTTAAAATATAAAAGTATTTAAAATATAATATAAATAATTAAAAAGTATATAAATATAAATAATTAAAATTCCTTTATTCTTACGCCCTTATAAGCGCCCTATAGTTACTTCTTTAGGCCGCCCTACCCCTCATCTATAGCACCTTAGTGCATCTATAACATTATCGTTAGAAGTGGGCGAGGTTAGGTGGCCCACAGGTGGGTGTGGCCCACAAGTGGGTGGTCAACGTTATCCGATAATACCTAATTCGTACAGGTACGACCTGTTACTAGGTTAAAGCACTAGACTCTCAGGATTAGAATTACGTCCTAAAGCTCAAATGGCAATGGGCCTTAGATCGTCCCGAAGATGAGCTTCTAAATTTAGCCAAGGAGAAATGTTCATGGGGTGCTGTATCCCTAAATTACTTCAAGGAGCTGGAGACTACCGGCAATTTGGGGCGTGGTCTTCGATAGGGACCTCAGAGAAAGTTTGTCACCCCGTCGAATGGCGACAGAGACAAAATCGACCTATATCCTCGAAAACTTGGCGGCAGACTCCTTCAATGCACGGAAGAAATAGAAAAACTTCTTTAGAAATCGCACCCCTGGTCTGCGCGATTACTTCTTCCCTCGGCAGACCCCTCCATACGTTGCAGTCTGTTGTCGAACTGCTGCAAGTGTTTCGGGACGCCATCAAGTGTCATCAGTCGCTCTACTACGATGCCAGAATTCTCCACCGCAATATTTCGCCTGGGAATATCGTCATGGTAGATCACCACCATAAAGGACAGCCGAAGGGAATTTTAATCGACCTCGATTCCGCCATCAACCTTGACGAGCCATATGAAGCAGACTTTGAAATTACTGTCACCAGGTCATTCATGGCAATCGGGGTGCTGAGAAACGAACCCCATACTTGCCGACATGACCTGGAGTCTTTTCTCTATGTCCTCCTATGGACGGTAATAACGAACCGCGCCGAGGCTCCGCCTGAGGGAAGCAGGCTTTGGCAATGGAGCAATGGCGACTGGGAGGAATTGGCTGGACGCAAGTCCCTGGACATGGCCGGCGAAAACATTGGAGACATTTTGGGCGAGTTCGGCAGCCAATTCGATTAACTGAAGTCCCTGGCGGAGCAACTGCACCAAGTTCTGTTTCCTGTACGGGATAGCACTGACGGCACGCCTGTTGCCGATGACAACTTATGAAGGAATGATTGCGGCGTTTGAGGGAGCTATTGCGTTGGAGGGCGGCGGAGTGCCCTGGAGGTAGACGCGTAATACAGAGAGAAGATGACAAGAAGAAGAAATATAGACAGAATAATAAGCATAAAAAAATAAGGAACATAAAAAGGATAATAGAGACAAAGAGAATAAGAAAATAAAAAAACATAGGTTATTATTAAGGTAAAGTACAGCGCTGGTAAGGACCTTAAAAAGGGACATCTGCATAGGGTAAGGAGATGAGTCGGTATGTCTTGCCTAATCTTGACGCCACCTTTTGGTGTTGTGGGTAAGGACCCCGGTTTCTGTTGTTCGATAGACAAAGACTTCACATTGCGCACACGTGCCGCTGTAAATTTGTGTGACGGGAGAAATAAAGCGTGATGAGATAGTGTGGCTGTCGTACCGCGTGAGACTGCCTTTCTTTCTGTCCAAGTCTAGCAGCGTCCAAGCTCTTAAGAACACGACCCGGTTATCCAACGAGACCGTGTGCAATGCTAGTTTCAAAGGCCTTCGACTTGGACAGAATATACTCGTGTCATTTGGTGGTTCATCATGGATCTCCATTCGTACCACAGAAAGTTTGAAATGGAAATCGGCAAAGGACGAGCAAGGGCGACGCCACCAAGAGCCTTAGCTGGCGTGATGGCGTGAAAGAGTAGTATTTTGATAGTATGTAGTGTGTCGCAGTAAAGTAGATGATTGACAATTCTTCATGAAAGGGGAAAATCAACAGTTGCATGATGAGTAAATACATATTTGTCTTTGTATGTAACGAGAGAGGCTTATGAATTAGGAAGGTAGCTTCTCAGGTAGTGATGTTGGCTATCAAATAAGGCGTCAAAAAAGGCATGTATCATTCTCCCACTAATAACCGCTCCACCTGCGGCCTGCCGTATAAGGCAGGAGCCTGTAACGTAAGTTAACCACCAAGATGAATCTCAGTTAGCCCTTGCATCATGGGAATTAGCGCATCGATCGCTAAGAGGCAACGTCCCCCGCCCCCGCATAGACAGGAAAATCACACCCCAGATCAAGCAGCTTGAACCAGTAACCTCATTCTCATACCAGGGAGCGACGTCGCCACCTTTTTCGGTATGAACTGAAACAATCTAGGCCGCTTCTTAACTGTTGTACTAGTTACGTAAATGCTGCTTGCATCGGCTGAGAAACCTGATCTGCATGGGCGGCGATTCAGGGTAGCATGCTAAACGGGCCGATTGGCTGTGGCGATGACTTCCTGACCTTGGCCCTTCCACATCTGCCGTTTCTTCGAGATTGCCGCCTTTCCGTGATTCTCGCCTCATTAGTTAGTTATATTCTGTCATTATGCCTATAACATCGCCATGGCGCCATCAACCAACCCCCCTATCTACTTTGCTCAGCTTGATTTGAGCACCATCACGCCTGATTTCACTACTTGTCAAAGTCATAGAAAGACATTTACTTTGACTTGCACTCGCACAGTCAGTGCGGGTTGCACAGATAATCTCAATTGAACGGTCATTGTGCCGGATGAGATAGTGACCGTTCTGTCAGTGTTTTTGTAACACGTCCGAGTGCGAGCCATGATTTTGTACAGGTTCTGAGGTTCAATTGTAATATGTGCAATCTAGGTCAGTACTAGGCTGTAAACTCTTCAACCGAGGAACCGCGCAATCTCGCTTATGACGAGGAAACAGTCGCTCAAAGACAAAGGTAACGAGCCTACTACAGTATGAGAAGGTGACGAGTCTTCGGCCCGATAGCTCTATCAACTTACTTTGGAAAGTGTACGTTGTATGTGGAGATTGCAGCAACGGTTTCATTCACCTGTATCGTGGCGCTGATGGGATTCTTCAATGAAATCCGCCTCAATTTTGTAAAGTGCATGCCTAAAATAGACGAACAGTAGCTATATTTTAACTATATAAAGACATGAAGGAGTCAACTACTGACTTGACAATTCTCACAAAGTAAGCCCTGCCTGTTTTGCAATCATGGTAGCGATCAAGTCGCTCGCGCTTATTTTAGCCACCTATGGCGCTGCTGCTCTCGTTAACGGTAAATATGCTGTGGCCTATGAACAATCTCCACTCTCTATCCAATCATTTACGACCTTGAAAGTTCAACCAGGGCTAACTAGTTATTCAATAGCTGGCATGCCTGGCAACGACAGCTGGGCTGAAGCATACGAGAAAGCCGCTGCGCTTGTTGGCAATATGACGTTGGAGGAAAAGGTCCAACTCACTGGTGGAGTTGAAGGGGAACAGAACGGTTGTGTGGGAGCCGTCGCTCCCATTCCACGACTTGGCTTCCCCGGCATGTGTCTAAGCGACTCGGGAAATGGCGTTCGTGGTACGGATCTGGTCAATGGCTACCCCAGTGGCATCTCCGTTGGATCGAGGCAAGTATAGTCGCTCGAAGTTATACGACATTTTCAACATGGCTAATCAGCTTCTTGCAGCTGGAACAAGGACCTCGCATACCAGCGTGGCGTGGCCATGGGCGCTGAGTTTAGAAAGAAAGGTGCCAACATAGCGCTGGGCCCCATGGTCGGCCCAGTCGGGCGTACTGTCAAAGGTGGCCGCAATTGGGAGGGCTTCACGGTTGACCCTTACCTCTCAGGGGCGCTGGTTAGGGAAAGCGTTATTGGGATCCAGGAACAGGGAGTTATGGCCTCCACAAAGGTAAGTCTTTTCGCCTGAAAAAGGATAAGGGGACGTTGCTAACCCTGGAAAAAGCACTACATCGCAAACGAACAAGAGACCGACAGAACCCCCGACGAAGGGAGGCTGGCCATCTCGGCAAACGTTGATGACAAGACCATGCACGAGTTGTATCTCTGGTATTATTATTGCTATCAAGACGAGAGATGCGGCTGATTGACTGTTTCCAGGGCATTCCAAGACGCTGTCAAAGCAGGCTCAGCGACCATCATGTGCGCTTACAACCGCATCAACAGCACCAACGCCTGTGGCAACGACAGGACCCTCAATGGGCTCCTAAAGACTGAGCTTGGATTCCAGGTACTTTGACTGAGCCTTATCACGCGCGTGCGTCCTACTAATTTAACGCATCAGGGTTTTGTCGTCTCGGACTGGGGCGCGCAGCATAGTGGTGTCACCGATGCTCTCGCAGGCTTGGATATGGGAATGCCTGACACGGAGGGTTTCTGGGGTAAACTTCTCGTTCAGGCCGTCAACAATGGCTCGGTTCCAGAGGACAGGGTGACAGACATGGCGACGAGGTGAGTGTCAACCCTCTGGCCCAACCATCTCGTGTATTTGAGACTCATAAGTGCAGAATCATCGCAGCGTGGTACCAGGTCCATCAGGACAAGGACTTTCCAACCCCGGGAATCGGAATGCCAGTCGATGTCCTCCAAAATCACACCGCTGTGGATGCTCGCGATCCCGCAGCTACAGCCGTCCTCCTCCAGGGAGCAGTCGAAGGCCATGTCCTCGTCAAGAACGACAAGCAGACTCTGCCCTTCAACCAGTCGCTCCAAAAGCTCTCCATATTTGGATACTCGGCCAACACGCCGCCGCTCGCATACCCGACCGAGGGAGATACTCTTGCTACCTGGCTATTTGGCCAGGCTCCCATATGGGGCGTTGATGTATACTCAAGCGTGATCGGGCCCCTCGGGACACTTTGGGGCGGCGGCGAATCTGGGGCCATCACGCCTTCAGTCTTTGTCTCGCCACAGGATGCCCTCGTTGCCAAAGCAGCCCAGGCCGGATTCACATTAAAGCAGGACCTAACGTCGGCGAAGCCTGTTGTGGATGCCGACTCTTCTGCTTGCATCGTCTTTGGCAACGCCTGGTCCTCTGAAGGTTATGACCGCCCGGGCCTCGCAGACAACTACACCGATACCATGATCAACACTGTCGCAGACCAGTGTTCCAGGACCATCGTGGTGCTCCATAATGCGGGAGTGAGGCTTGTCGATGGCTTCGTCAACCACCCCAACGTCACCGCCATCATCTTTGCCCACCTTCCCGGCCGAGAGAGCGGCTCAGCACTCGTCTCCCTCCTTTGGGGCGACTCTAACCCTTCGGGTAAGCTGGTCTACACAGTGGCGAAGCAGGATGAGGACTACGGGCCACTCCTCAACCCTGTTTCCAACATTAGCAACCCGGATCCTCAGGCAGACTTTACAGAGGGTGTTTACCTGGACTACAAGTACTTTGAGAAACACCGCATCGAGCCTCGGTACGAGTTTGGCTTCGGACTGAGCTACACCAGTTACGACTACTCTCACATCACAATCCAGAGCCCCAGTGCCAGCGCAGCTAATGAGTATCCTACCGGACCTATCGTTAGTGGCGGTCAGGCAGACCTTTGGGACCACATCGCTACCGTTACCGCCAAAATTGGCAATAAAGGGAGCGTTGATGGTGCTGAGGCGGCCCAGCTGTACGTGCGCTTTCCCGGAATGGACGCGAAGCAGCTTCGTGGCTTTGAGAAGCCGTACCTCAAGGCTGGAGAAGAGACGGTCGTGTTGTTCGATTTGACCAGGAGGGATCTTAGCGTTTGGGACACTGTCGCGCAGAAGTGGAAGCTGGAGAGAGGGCGCTATGAGGTGTATGTTGGGCGAAGCAGCTCGAATCTGCCGCTAAAGACGTACCTGACCATTTAGATGAATGGTTTGGGCTGAAGGAACCAAGATGTAGATAGGGTTGATTGTTATGAACGAGCTGAGTTGAATTTAATTGCCTTTTATAAGTACAGGTTAGTGTGGATATCCCATCTTCAGGGTAGTACACACATACCATAGAAGCTATCCCTATATAATATAGAGACTAATTCTAATAATATTAAACACCCCCTAATTAATAGCCACTTATTAACTAGTAAGTATATATAAATATAATATATAACTTTAAAACTATATAAATATTTTAAATAAATTTAAATAAAATATAATTAAAAATCTATATTAGAATTTAAGTTAATTCTTATTTAAAATACTCTTTTTAGTAGTTTTAAAATTAAGTTATTTTTTAAAGATTTATATAAATTTCTTTATATTTATATTTTAATATATTAATTTATTAAAAATATTCTTTTACTAATATTTATTATAAAAGGTTTAAAAAGTCTTTAAAAAGTCTAATATTAAGGACTAGCCCTACGGCTACTATGAGAAGGCGTTAATATAAGGCTAAAATAAATCTCTTATAGAGGAAGAGGCAGGGAGGTTATAACAAAGTGGCTACTATACATAAGGGGGAGTCCCCCCCCCCTATTAGCCCTATACCTTAGGCCACTAGGCTATTAGTCTAGCTAGGCTGTGGCCTAAGCTCTTATATAGCCCCCCCGTCGTGGTTATAGAAAACCCCTCTATAGTGCCCCTTAGCTATTATAACGTCGCCCTCTATTAGTTATCTTATCTAGAGTCCCTTTTATAATAGCCTTATCTTTATTACTTATTTCTTATACGTGCTACTATAGAGGGTATTCTTTTAGGTTAGTAGTAGCCTATTATTTATTCCTTCTAACGTAGGTATTATATTAGTACGCGCCTAATAGCCTCTTTTTAATCCTAAGGAGGGTGTTACTTTATAGATAGCTCTTTATTAGGAGGTTATAAAAGTGAGCCATAAGTAAAGCACTAGCCCCCCCCTTTATTAATATTTAATATTATCTTATCTCCTTTTAAAATTCCCTCCCCTTTAAACCTTTTCCTCTTATTATTATTCCTCTAGTAAGTAACTTTATTATATCTCTATTTATACTTATTCTTAATTATTACTTACTATTCCTTACTTATATTCTAAATCCTTTTTAACCCTAAATGACTTATATTATAATAGATACTACTACTATACTACTATTATCTCCCCCTCTTAGGGGGAATAATAAGGTTAGGCTAAAAGGCTATAAGGGCCTATATTATACCTAAGGTAGTATCTTATTATAGGGTAACTCTAATAATAAGTAGTAGGACCTTATTAAAGAGGTCTAGTTTCTCTACCTTAACTACCTCTTATTAATAAGAATACACTTTACTTTATAATATAAGATAACTACTAATAGTGGTTATACTTAGTATTCTATATATAAGAAGCCCTATAATAGACGTCTATACTTTTTTACTATAAGCCTACTCTTATATTAACTTATTTACTATACTACCTCTTTTATTACTAACTAGAAGGTAATTAAAGTTACTATAGTAGGTAAAATAAGTAAGTTAGGCTTAAAAAAGGTAAAGCCTACCCCTACTATAGTGTTAGTACTCGCCTAGCTCTATAATATTATAGCCTGCCTTAAGGCTAACCCACTCTATACTAACGTTATTAAGGTGCTTACTACCCCTACTCTTACTACTACTTAGGATACTAAGTCTACTATATTAACCCTAGCTAGCACTTAAAACACTATTATCTTTAAGGGTAGTAGTAGCCACTATAGTGCTAATTAGGACCTTATATTAATAGTGTCCTCCCTTAACTTAACTCTATCTAGGATCTATAGTAAGATCTAAGCTCTTAATATAAGTGCCTTTACTACTACTACTATACTTTACTAATAGTATTCTAGGCTAACCACTAGACTAAGGCTAACCACTACTATAAGCTTAATATAACTATAGTCGCTTTTAACGCCTATCTTCTTAAGGGCGTAACGGCCTTTATTATAAGCTAGTAGACACTATATTAGGCCCTTAAGGCCCCTAAGCCTAAGTCACACTCCTCCTATAATAGCTATACTTATAATAATAACTATTTATACTATTATTATTCTAACTAGTGATCCTATTAGTATAGGCACTATAGGCGCTATAAGTGATTATACACCCTAATATATTAGGATATCTTTTCTTAAGTTTATAGTTAATATAAGCGCTCGCCTTACTATTATAAGTAAGAGTCTAGGTTATAGGTCTTTAATATAGAGTTAATTTCCTTTAATAATAGTGTCTCCTTCTCTAATAGACTATTATAAGTTTATTATTTCTATTATCTAATACACTTATATTAGTATTATCTTTCTTATATTTTATTTTTATTTTTCCCTTAGTGTAGGGTTTTATAGTGTTAGGGAGTTTTTATATTTTTATATATTCTTTTTTAATAAGTAGTTTTATAAGCGTAGGCTATATATACTAAGGTTCTAAAGTGTAGCCCTATTAACACTATAAGTCTATTAGGGAGCCCCTATTATAATAAATAAATTCTTTTTATTTACTACTATCTTACTATTCTTTTATTAACATCCTATATTACTATTAGTTCTAGTTACACTTCTTCTATAAGTGTGCCTCCTATAGCCCTACGTTATAGTATATATCTCCTTACTCTATTTTAAATTTATAAAGCACTATAGTGCCTTATAGTGTATTAAGGGGTTCTTATATAGGGTTATAATACCCCTACTATTTTACTAATACTTTATATCTACCTCCTCTTCCTTATACGTTTTATACCTAAAGGACTACTAATACTTTAAACTCCTCCCTTAGGCTATTACTATCCTTATTATTAATAAGTTATAGTTTAGGTGCCTAATCCTCTTATAATTAGGATAGAAGGGGGTCGTCTTACACTCTTATTTAATACTCTTTTAACTAAATCTATATAAAAAGTATTATAAAGGTCCCTTAGTATATTAAGTATTATATTTAATAGTAATAGTATTACTATTATTATATATTTTATTTAAACCTAGTTAAGCTTCTTTAATAGTCTTAAGGTTATAATATTATAGAGTAAGAGCTATACTTTATCCCTAACTTAGTACTAGTTAGCTAGATACTATAAGTAGTCTACTACTTTCTTTATATATTATTATATATAAGTAATACTAGCTTAGGCTAACTTAATACTATTATAAATATAGTTAAAGAACGCCTTAGCCCTTACTACTAGTGTTTTCCCTTAGTGTAGTATAGTATTTTCTAGCTTTTTCTAGACTACCTCTAGTTAGAACCTATATAGTAATATATTTAGACTATAACCTATAACTAAAGAATCTTAGTTATTAAGGGCTATTTATACTATTAGTAGTTATTTAGGCTAGTTATACTAAGAGTATAAAATAAGCACTTATAGTACTACTTAGACTTCTTAGTTCACCCACTTAGTACTCTTATCCATCTATAGGTAAAACACTATTAAAAGTATCTACTTAGCGCCTATTAGTAAGTATATTATACACTAGAATAATCCTACTTAATCTAAGCCTTAGTTATTTATAATCACTATAGGGAAGCTAAAGTACTACTACTAGTAGTAAAGGAACTAGTGTGTATAAGCCTCTACTATTATAGACATTATCACCTCTAGCTAGATGTACTTTGATAGTGTTATAGATGCACTAAGGTGCTGTAGATGAGGGGCAGGGCGGCCTAAGGAAGTGACTATAAGGCGCTTATAGGGGCGTAGAGGAATAAAGGAACTAGTTAGTTATATAACTAGATCACTAGGGATTATAGTGATCTAGTGTTAATCTAGGATTACTAGGATTATAGAGTGAGCTAAGTGATCTAAGTAATATAGTAGAGGATAGGATAGATATATAAGGAAGGGGATTTCTAGTAAATAGTTAGACTAGATCTCTACTAATTAATCTAAGTAATAGTTCTACTATTAGGAGTAATCTCCTAATATAACTTATATAATAATATCTACTTATATACATACTAAGTGTGTACTTATCTAACTCTCTACTTAAGAAATAGACCTACTATAGATTAAGAATAAACTACTATTATATTTTAATTAGTCTTATTTAGTAAGTTATTATAAGAAACCTTAAGTAGATAATTAAGATATTAACTATAAACGAACTTACTAATAATACCTCTAAAACCCTTTAGAAACTCTTAGTAAGAGTTAAATAACTTAAAAAGGATAATAAAGAACTCTAGAAGTATACTAATAAGTACTAAGAAGAAATTAATAAGTTAAATAAAGAAAAGGATTAGTTTATAGAATAACTTAAGAAGGAAAGAAGTAAGAAGCCTAAGTTTTTAAACTAGAAACCTATAATAAGTATAAAGGTAATATAAAGAACTTTCTTATATAGGCTAATACCTACCTCTAAGTTAATAAGGGCACTCTTACTACTACTAAGGATAAGATCCTCTATATTAGTAACCTCTTAACTAGAAAAGCTATAGAATAGTAGGAACCTATACTATAAGTATACTTTAGATATAGTATTAAAGCTAGAGCTAATATAGTTTATATCTTCTTAGACTATAAAACCTTTAAAGAAAGACTCCTAAACGTATTTAGTAACCTAGATGAATATAAAGAAGCTACTTAATAGCTTACTTATTTTAAGTAGACTAGATCCACTATACACTATATATAAGAGTTTAAATAGATTATAGCTAAGCTTAATTAGGGTAATAAAGTTATAATAGAAATCTTCTACTAAGGATTAAAAGAAGAAGTAAAAGATAATATCTACTAATTAGATTAACTAGCTTTATTTAATAGCTTTATTAAGGAAGTTATTAAGGCTAATAATCGCCTCTATAAACAATATTAAGAAAAGAGGGGAGGAATAAGCTACTAAGGTTATATAGGACCTAATAAAAACAAACTAAACACTAGTAAGCTATAATAAACCTCTACTACTTATAGTTACTATATAGGACTAATAGAACTTAATATTATAAATAAA